GACAACTTGGCCTATCATCTGAGTGCTCTGTGGGTAACAGTTCTTAGTAGAGAAATACTATACTGACACTAAGATGACAGTGCCTTCTGTCATGAATTGGAGTTAACACAGTAACAAGAATAACGGTAATAGGAATATCACTCAGATGCATTTTAGGGACCAGTGGAATGCCAGGGTATCTGGGGGGAAGGCTAGGAGCAAGTTGAGGCATTCCAGGCAGAAATTTTATCTCAGTGGAATGGAGGTGGTGCTAAGGGCCTTTATACCTTGAGGCTGCATAAGAAATGAGTTGGAAAAGGATTTTCCAAGGCCTCAAGGCCAAAGCAATGACTGGTGGGTGGGCCGAGTCAAATGCAGCTGCGAGTGAAGCTGTGAGTGAATGCGAACATAAATGACAGTGAAAGCTGGAGCTTGCCAAGATCACAGATGTCCAGATATTCCTGTGATTGCAGAGTGAGCAAAAGGCAACACAAGGCCAACTATCTCTCCTGAGTCACCCACATGCCAGCTCAGTTAAAAAATTAGTTGTGGGGCCGGAGTGATAGCACAGCAGGCAGGGCATTTGCCTTGCATGCGGATGACCAGGGTTCAATTTCCAGTAGATCACTTGCCTTGTATGTGTGAGGACCTGGGTTCAATCCCTGGCACTGCAGAAGGGAAAAAAAAAAAAACAAAAAAATAAGGCAAATGAGCTCAAACAGAGAGACGATGATACAGGATGCACTGAAAGGATTGCAGAAATCTGTGCGATTGGTATCTAGACCAGGCTATGAGAGTCACCTACCAGCCTGGCTCAAAAATGAAAATAAGCAAAGTAGCTGAGTTCTAATAATTATGGGCTGGAGCGATAGCACAGCGGGTAGGGCGTTCGCCTTACAAGCGGCCAACATGGCCAACCCAAGTTCGATTCCTCCGCCCCTCTCGGAGAGCCCGGCAAGCTACCAAGAGTATTCGATATGCCAGACACAGTAACAACAAAGTCTCCAATGGAGACGTTACTGGGCCCGCTCGAGCAATAATTATTAATAATGATAGCTATTCTAGGTACTTATTATAGATATTGATTAAAGGTAAAGGTAAAGGCCCTCCCGTTGATCATCGATTTGCTCGAGCGGGCCCAGTAACATCTCCATTGGAGACTTTGTTGTTACTGTGTCTGGCATATCGAATACTCTCGGTAGCTTGCTGGACTCTCCGATAGATATTGATTATCATTTTATATTCTAATATATTATTTATACATATGATAGGTAGCACTGTAGCACTGTCCTCCTGTTGTTTATTGATTTGCTGAGTGGGCCCAGTAACGTCTCCATTGTGAGACCTTTTACTGTGTTTGGCATATCGAATACACCATGGGGAGCTTGCCAGGCTTTGACATGCGGGCGAGATACTCTCAGTAGCTTGCCAAGCTCTCCGAGAGGGGAGGACGAATTGAATCCGGGTGGGCTGGGTCAGCCGCGTGCAAGGCAAACGCCCTACCCACTGGGCTATCACTCCAGTCCATATGATAGGTATTTATTATAATAGTAAATCACTTCTGGTAGTTCTTGGGTATCCATGGGGTGCCAGAGATCAAATCCACATCGGTAGCATACAAGGCAAGCGTCTACCTGCTTCTCTCTCCATCCCTGGCTTCACTAACAATTAAACTTTAACACAAAGAACAGCACCTCTGGGAACCCTCCATTCTACATATAAGTGAACAGAAGCCAACACGATTAAGCTTTAAAGACATGTAGATAGTTTATGTTACCTGTAGCATTATAAATTAGTTATTTAGTCTTTTGACTTTTCTGGGGTGTGTGTGTGTGTTTTTTTTTTGGCTCTTTTTTTTGGGGTGGGGGGGAAGGATCACACCCAGTGATGCTCAGAGGTTACTCCTAGCTCTGCACTCAGGAATCACTCCTGGTGGTACTCCAGAGACCATATGGGATGCCGGGGATTGAACTCAGGTCAGCTGCGTGCAAGGCAGATGCCCTACCCGATGTACGATTGCTCCAGCCTCTCTTTTGTTTTTCTCTGCAGTGCTGGGGATGGAATCCAGAGCTTAGGCACAGGCCAGGAATGCCCTCTCCCTCTGTGCCACAACCTCAGCCCTGCATGAATCTTTTCTCATGATCAAGCTACTTCCTGAGTCTATTTGTTCCCTGAAACAATCTGAAATTAAATGACCAGCTGTATAAAACCATGCAAAGCATTATTCAATATGGCTGAAGAGAGAAGAGAGAAGGAAGGAAGAAAAAACCATCCCTCTAAACACACTCTCCCTGGGGATGGAGCGATAGAGCAGCGGGTAGGGCGTTTGCCTTGCACGCGGCCGACCCGGGTTCGATTCCCAGCATCCCATATGGTCCCCTGAGCACCGCCAGGAGTAACTCCTGAGTGCAGAGCCAGGAGAAACCCCTGTGCATTGCCAGGTGTGACCCAAAAAGCAAAAAAAAAAAAAAAAAAAAAAGTAAACACACTCTCCCTGGGAAATGAAGAAAAGGAAAAAAATGAGGCATGGATACAGCAGAATGGTACACAATCATTCAAATTAGGAGGGCAAAGTATGGAAAGGAAACACAGAATGCCCCGTATCTGTTTATGGGGACAGCCAGGAACCTCAGGAGGGAAAAACAAAAACACTCTGTGTTTTTTAGAGAGTGGAATTTCCTTTGTGAAAATACTGAAGTATATAATGAAAATTCTTTAACTAAAATAAAAAAGCAAAGATAGAAAATGAAAGCAAAAACAACATACCAAAGCTTTGGGGAAATTGTCTCTTAAGCAAATATAGCCCGTTCGTATCAGAATAGTCAGCACGCCGAGGATGGCCATCAACATTAAAAACGTAAAACACATAAAAATCAGTTGTATCTCGCCACGTTCCGATGACTCTGTTGATGGAAAATTAAATGATTTTATTTCAAAACCAGTCCAGTAAATGAGTGCAGATGGGAACAAAAGCACAGTCAGTGGCAGAAGAAGGCAGCAAGCAAAAGAGTGGGGAGAAACTAGAGTTAAACGGAAAAGGCTGGCGGGCATTCCCGCCCGGGACACAGTGAAACGCCAGAGAGACAGCACCTGGGTGAAGGCGCTGCCCGGCACGTGGTCAACCCTGGTTTGATCCCTGTGTGCCCCCACTCACACACACACACACACACACACACACACACACACACACACACACACACACACACACCCCACTTTAATACAAACATCATAAATGTCTTTTTCTCCCTGCTCCACGCCCTCCCGACCCCCTGTGCTGGGATCAAACCCAGGGCCCAGTTAAATACATGCCACGTGCTCTCCTGCTGGCCTCCAGCCCTGCAACAAATTGCATAGCCTAAAGCAAAATGCGTTCCAGTTATATCATTATATCCTAGGACACACTGTCCACTACGGGACCTTTCACCCCAAGTGAGCACTGAAAAAAGAACCCCAGTGACGATTAGTATTTGTAGGGAGTGGGTGTTTGGGCCATACCCTGCAGTGTTCATGACTTGTGCCCAGGAAGCCAGGACAAAATTGAGTGTAGCTGCATTCAAGAGAGTGCCTTAACCCCTGTACTATCCACCCCACTCCCGCCCCGCCCCGCACACCCCCCTCCCAGCCAAATCCCACCTTCAGGGGCCTTAATGATACAGCAGGCAGGAATCTTGCCTTTAATGCAGCAGACCTGCGTTTGATCCCCAGCACCCCATAGGGGCCCCTGAGCCCACCGGGGGCTCACTCTGAGTGCAGAGCCAGGAGTAGGCCATTTACTATGTGTGGCAGGTGGAGTAGGAAAGGAAAATTTCTCTGAAGACATGCAGGCATCATTTCTGAGCTGAGCCCAGGTTCTGAGTACACCTCACCATCAGAGCTCTGGGCTTGCTCTGTCATATGATGGGGTCCTTTTTTTTTTCCACAAAATTTCTTTTTCTTCTCTCTCTCTTCTTTTTTGGCCCACACCCAGCAATGCTCAGGGGTTATTCCTAGCTCTACACCCAGGAATTACTCCTGGTAGGACTTAGAAGACTCTCTGGGGTGCTTGGGATTGAACCCAGGTTGGCCACATGCAAGGTGAACACCCTCCCCACTATTATCGCTCTGGTCCCTTTGCAAAATATCTTGTGGGAAAAAAATCTCAACCTTCTGCCAGAAAACGACTCTTTCCCTGAAAGGTCTCCTGAGATGAGAAGAAATCAGATTCTCATAAATTCTAGAAAGTTCTTTTTTTAAAATTTTTGGCTTTTTGGGTCACATCCAACTCAGGGGTTACTCCTGGCTCTGCACTCAGGAATCACTCCTGGTGGTGCTGGGGGACCATATGGGATGCTGGGGATCGAACCTGGGTCAGCTGCATGCAAGGCAAATGCCCTGCCTGCTGTACTATTGCTCTGGCCCCACACTTTAGAAAGTTTTTGATGAATGTAAATCTGGGCCCACAGCTTTAGAAAGATACAGGAGGGGGAAAGCAAAGTAAAAGGAAGATGGAGTGTTTAACTTCCATTAATGTCTTTTTTAAAATCTGTTTTTTAATCAATCAGTGTCTTTTTTCTGGATAAAGGAATAGACTGGAAGAAACTTCCACACTTCCTGTCCTATTGGGAGGACCCATGAACTCACTGTTGTTATTCCCTCCAGGAGTGACAAGACAGTAAACATTCAAAGGAAAATTCTGGAATCAGATGTAGCCACGAAGCACATCGCATGACACAATGACACAAAATTCTTACTTGTAGAGTTTACATTCTAGAAAAATGTACCAGAACCAAAATGATTTCCTTCCTTCCTTCCTTCCTTCCTTCCTTCCTTCCTTCCTTCCTTCCTTCCTTCGGCCTTCCTTTCCTCCCTCCTCTCCCTCCCTCCTTCCTGCCTCTTTCTTCCCTCCTTCCTTGCTTCCTTCCCTCCTTCCCTTTCCTCCCTCCCTCCCTCTTTCCTTTTCTCCCTCCTTTCCTCCACTCCTCCCTTCCTCCTTCTTTCCTCTTTCCTTCCTCCCTCCCTCTCTCCCTTCCTCCCTTTCTCACCTCCCTCCCTCCCTCCCTCCCTCCCTCCCTCCCTCCCTCCCTCCCTCTCTTTTTCCTCCTGTTTTTGACACCAGGTTCAAACCCAGGGTCTCAAACACACAAAGCATCTTCTCTGCCCAAGCGATGTGTCTGGAGCAGCAGTGATATTATAGGGCCTGACTGGTGTCTCCCTGCCCTGTTCACCAACACCCCCCAACCTGAATTCCTGTTTCTGGTTCTGCTTCTAGAGAATCTAAAGCAAAACACTTGCCTTCCTTATTTAAAATTGCACCCTGGCACCCTCTCTTGGAAGCCCCTCCTCTTCCCCACCCCCTCACACATTATCCTGCTTAATCCAGCTCCAGAGTCCTTATTCCCACTGGCGCTGGCAGACACTCATGTTCACTTGTTCTCATCTTGTTTTTCCGTCCCCTGCTGTGAGCAGAGCAGGGCTGCTGGGTCCCCACTATCCAGAAGACTAACGCGCTAGGCCTCTAGGGGCTCCAGAAGTGGGCGTGGACTGTGTATAGCCCCTCCCAGGTCTGGTGGGAAGAGCTGCCCCATTCATTCATTCATTCATTCAGGGCTTGACCAGGGGAAGGCTGTCTCTAGATCTTGGGCTAAAGTCTCCCATATGGGGGCTCCCCATGGAGGCCAAGCCCCTCTGTCTTCAAGGGTTCTCCCACACCCCAAACCTGCATGTTCCCCAAGTCTGGCTAACAAGCCTGGATTACAAGGGGAGACATGCTGTGAATGCCCCCCAGAGCTGTAGATGGCATAAAGCATGGTGTGTGCAGATAGCAAGAGCACCTGCATACACAGGGTCTGACCCCAGGTGCCTGTCTCTGTGTTCCCAGAAGGTGGAGCAGAAAGGGGGGGAACTGAGAGTGTGGTCACGTGACCACCTCTTAGCAGAATCAGCCCAGAAGAAGGCAACCCCACGAGGGGGGGTATGGCTGCTACCTGGACCTCCCAAGAAGGACTTGAGGTTCAGCCCACTGACCCGTCTCTAGGGGATGGGTGGGGGATGCGGGCTTTTAGTGCTGATAACTGCAACTAGGGATAAGAGGGACTTAGTCTCTGTTCTCAAGAGCCTGAGAATTCACTTTCTAAGCCAAGCCAAGCGCAGCCCTGTGTTACTCACCAGCCCCTCCCCTCCCAGCCCCACTTTTTCGGAAAGCCCCTTGAGCTGTGGGCTGGTTTCCAGGGCAACCAAGCAAGTAACTGCTTTCACTTTCCGCCCACCCGCCCCACCCGTTTGCTGGTGCTGGGGAGAGGCACTAGAGATGGACTCAATTAGCAGTGGACAAGGCCTGCATTAGTTTGGCCTAGGTAAGGCAACCTTGGGTAAAACCCCTCAAGAATAGGGTTCAGGGGACTTCTTGGGGTGGTGAATGCATGGAGGTGCTGGGGAGGGTGGTGTGGCCAGAGTGGGGGAAAACACTTCGCATCCTCCCGTCTTTCATCTCTTCCACCCAGCATTATGTTCTTTTTGTTTGTTTGTTTGTTTTTTGACTTTTTGGGTCACACCTGGCAATGCACAGAGGTTACTCCTGGCTCTGCACTCAGGAATGACACCTGGCGGTGCTTGGGGGACCATATGGGATGCTGGGAATCGAACCCAAGTCGGCTGCATGCAAGGCAAACACCCTACCTGCTGTGCTATCGCTCCAGCCTCCATTATGGTCTTTCTTTCTTCCTTCCTTCCTTCCTTCCTTCCTTCCTTCCTTCCTTCCTTCCTTCCTTCCTTCCTTCCCCCTTCCTTCCTTCCTTCCTTCCTTCCTTCCCTTTTCCTTCTTTCCTTCCTTCCTTCCTTCCTTCCTTCCTTCCTTCCTCCTTCCTTCCTTCCTTCCTTCCTTCCTTCCTTCCTTCCTTCCTTCTTTCTTCTCTTTCTTTTTCTTTCTTTCTTTCTTTCTTTCTTTCTTTCTTTCTTTCTCTTTCTCTCTTTCATTTGTTCTTTCTTTTGTTTGTTCTTTCTTTCTCTCCTTTTTTGGTTATTGGGCCACACCTAGGCTTACTCCTGGCTCTGCACTCAGGTATCATTCCTGGTGAACCCAGGGGACCCTATGGGGTGTAGAGGATCAAACCTGGGTTGGTCTCATGCAAGGCAAATGGCCTATCCACTAGACGATCTCTCCAGCCTCATCTCCTTTCAGAGTAGACAAGGACCCTTCAGTAAGCAAACCATTCTCTGCAGTTCCGTAAACCATCCTCACACATGGTCAAAATTGAGGAGGGGGTTGTGAAATCTCCATCAATATCTGGTCCCACGGAAGCCCAGAGGCCACATGGACGTGTCACTGACATTTGACATGGATGTGAGGGGCCTTCCTGTGGTTCTGAGCCCTGAACCTGGGGGATGGGATGGAAGCATTTGTTAGGGACCAAGTGTCAGGGCTGAGTCAAAGCTGTGGGACACCCAGCCCGAGTGGGAGAATTGTTTGAGGTGGGGAAGAAAACCCACCCATTTCGAGTCCAGAAGGATTCTGTGAGGACAGAGGGGAAAAAAATTGAGTTTTCCCCCGCTTTGGTCTGTTTGCTGGTATGTTGAATAAAATGTGGGTACAGAGATTAATGTTGTAGAGGCTCCCAGTGAGACACAGATAAAACACGCCCTTCCTTCTTGTTGCAGTAAAGGATGCAGCAGCCCCGCCCATCCACACTCTATCCGCTCACTGAAACCACCATGTAGGCTGGCTGACTCTCAGTGTATAGATTAGACCACACCAGGTCATTCTGAGCAGTAAGATCTCTCAGTTTGCATTCTCACACCCAGAATGTCTCTGGCTTCAGATAAGGACCTCAAAGTTCACGGGTGAGAGAGTTTACAGGATTGAATGTATGCTTTGTATATAGGAGGTGCCATTTCGGTCCCTGGCACTGCTATGAATGACCCCTGACCATAAGCACAGAGCTAGGAGTAGCCCCTGAGAACTAAGGTGTGGGTGAAAAAAAAACCCAACAATAATAATAAATAAAAATTTCAAAATTCAAATAAATATATTTTTATTTTATTTTATTTATTTATTTTTTGCTTTTTTGGGTCACACCCAGTGAAGCTCAGGGGTTACTCCTGGCTTTGCACTCAGGAAATACTCCTGGTGGTGCTCGGGGGACCATATGGGATGCAGGGGATCGAACCGGGGTCAGCTGCATGCAAGGCAAATGCCCTACCTGCTATACTATTGCTCCAGCCCCAATATATTTTTCCTATTCAGCCAGAATGTTGGGTCTTTCCACAGGCCAATCCAAAGGCAAGTGCTTTATTTCCTCCTATTATTTCAAATATAACACTTCCTTCTTTTGAGCATGATCTGCTACACTTGTGGATAGACCAAAGGTCTATAATTTGGAGAGCCCCATCCTTTAATCTCTAAATAGTTTCCTTTTCATGCAATTGGTGATTTTTTTTAAATGTAGGAGTACTGCTATTTATTCCAATTGGTGGAGTTTTAAAAAAAATTTTTTCTAAAAAAAAAAATTTTTTTTCTAATTTTTTTAAATGGAATCACTGCAGATACTGTCCTCCCATTGTTCATCAATTTGCTCGAGCGGGGCCCAGTAACGTCTCCATTGTGAGACTTGTTGTTACTGTGTTTGGCATATTGAATTCGTCACGGGTAGCTTGCCAGGCTCTGCCGCTATGAATGATAAAGTTACAAAGATATTTATGATTGAGTTTCTGGCGTATGTTGCTCCAACACCAATCCCTTCACAGGTGCCCACTACCCCCTGCCAATGTCCCCAGTTTCCTTCCCACCCACAGGCTGCCTCTGTGGCAAGCACTTTTCACTGCTGGTGGGAATGTTGACAAATCCAGCCTCTTTTGTAATGCAATTGACACTGCTCACAAAACTAGGAACTGAGCTTCCATATGACCCAACAATTCCACTCCTGGGAATATAACCCTAGTGCCCGAGAGCACAATGCAGAAATGCCACCTGCACGTCTATGTTTACTACAGCACTATTCACAACAGCCAACAGATGGAGACAACCCAAGTGTCCAAGAACGGATGACTGGATACAGAAAACTCTGGCACACACACACACACACACACACACACACACACACACACACACACACACCATGGAATACTACTCAGCCATAAGAAAAGATAAAGTCATGCAATTTGCTGCAGCGTGGATGGATCTGGTGGGTAAAATCAGTGAGAGGGAGAGGGACAGACTCAGAATGATGTCTCTCATATTTGGGATGTACAGAAACCCTCGTAGGGGAATGCCAAATGACCAATGGCAATAGAAATGCAGGGCAGGAGAACTGGTCTTCAGTAGGAAGTGTGGCTCGGGGCGGGGGTGGGGGAGATAAGTCAGGGAAGGGAAGGGAAGGCGAGTACTCTGGGGGAGGGGAAGGGCTATCATAGATCATGGTAACCAGTGACTCCAAGTACCGAAGTATCGGTTCTATTATTTTTTTCTTTTTGGGTCACACCCAGTGACGCACAGGTATTACTCCTGGCTTTGCACTCAGGATTTACTCCTGGCGCTGCTCAGGGGATCATATGGGATGCTTGGAATTGAACCTGGGTTGGCCAAATGCAAGGCAAATGCCCTACCCACTGTGCTATCGCTCCAGCTGCAAAGCACTGGTTCTTGGCACACTTCCCAAACCCTTGACACTTTCTGAGTGATTGAAGTATCTCTGGGATGATAATTTTGCCACAGGAGGTAATCATGGGAGTGGGGCTAGTGAGGCCCAGGACATGGGATAGATACCACAAAAACCAACTGTGACATGTGAAAGTTGGAAATTCTGTGGTTCTTTTTTTCTTTTTTTTTTTTTCACACCTAGTGTTCAGGGGTTACTCTTGATTTGGTGCTTAGTATTGGGGGTGGAACCTGCGCCTCTTGCACACAGAGCATATTTTCTGCCAAGACTTCTAAAAAAGGCTTTTGGGAGGGGCGCATCTGGTGGTAATCAGATGGCATTGGATCAGAGTGGGTGACAAGCAAACCCAGGACCTTGCCTCTCCCAGCTCTCCCAACTCTCCAGCTTTCAGACTCTTTGCATGTTCCCTGAGCAAGAGCGAGCGGCCATACCTGGCTTCTCTTCTGGTAGGAGGGCGCATTTCATTGCTCGTGTCACATCTGGATTTCTGTCATCAAAATAAACTGATATGCAGTAGTTCATGTTCGGAATTAACCTGTCGATGACGTAAGAGAAATCTCCAGCCATTTTCCCACTTATTTTGGGCTTATGCTGTGAAAAATAAGCATAAATCAGTAAGATGGGGTGAGAATTTCAGTCAGCGGCAGTCTCTTTAGGGACCTGTCTTCAAATCATTTTTTTTTTCCTTACTGGGTCACACTCAGCCATGCTCAGGGATTGCTCCTGGCTCTGCACTCAGGAATTACTCCTGGCAGTGCATGCTGGGGATTGAACCCAGGTCGGCCATGTGCAAGGCAAGCACCCTACCCATTGTACTGTCGCTCCAGCCTCCTGCCTTCAAATCTTAAACAAGGATAGAACTATCATGGGAAGGTCGAAGAGATAGTATAGAGGATAAAGGTACTTGCCATGCACTCACCCGACCCAGGTTCGAGCCCTTGCAATAGATATAGCTCCTCAAGCCCTACCAGGGATGAGCCCTGAGTGCAGAGCCAGGAGTGAGCCCTGAGCACTGCCGAGTGCGGCCCCCCAAAACAAATAAACAGTATCACAGGCTTGGGAAGAAAACCATTGTAGGCTCATTTTGAACAAGTCATTCACCACAAAACTACAGGTATGTGTACACACACACACACACACGCACATACACATGCAATTTTAAGCCATGAAATCTGGTCTAGCAAGTTCATTTTACAAAGGAAGAGAAAAAGTAGCACTAAGGGGACAAAAGTCTCTATGGTGTCATTTTTGCAAGATAGTCTTTCAGCAAGATAATCCTGTCACAATTTCATCCTGCATGGGCCAGAAGAAAGTACGGCAGTACATGTCTCGCATGTACTGATCCAGGCTCAACTGGCAGCAGCATGTGCTTCCCTTGGAAAGTGCTGGGTTTTGGGAGTAATCCTGGAACCCCATGCCAAGATCCCCACATGGACCACGGGCTGGCTTGGCTGTCACCGCGCCCAAAACCGCACGGCCAGCACTGGCTCCGTACTGTCCACTGCTGTGCTATAGCTCCAGCCTCCTAACTGCACAAATTCTTAAACTGTACTTAAAAACAACCACAACACCCCAGGGACTGGTGACCACGTACCTTCTTCACAATCCTCTCTGACCGCTCCTCAATGACCAGGGGCGTGTTGAACATTAAATCCTCTATAATGCCAGAGACACCGGGTGGGATGTGGATGATGACCTTAAGGTGGTCGGTGAAACCCACAATCTCAAACTCGGGAGGTTCTAAAGACACTGTTTAGAAGACAAAGTCAGAAGTTTTGGGTCACATCCAGCAATACTCGGAGGTTACTCCTTGCACTCAGGAATCACTCCTGGTGGTGCTTGGGGGACCTTAATGGGATGCCAGGATCCAACCCGGGTCAGCTGTGTGTGAGGCAAATGGCCTACAGGCTCTCTGTTCTATAGCTCCAGTCTCTCCCATGGCCCACAAAATATTTTTCTCTCTTTTTTAATTGAATCACTGTGAGATACATAGTTACAAAGTTTTCAAGATTGGGTTTCAGTCATACAATGTTCCAACACCCGTCCCTTCACCAGAGTATATTTCCCACCACCAATGTCCCCAGTTTCCTCTCTCTCTCTCTCTCTCTCTCTCTCTCTCTCTCTCCTTTTGAGCTTTATGGTTCGCAATACAGGTACTGAAAGATTACTATGCATACCCCTTTCCCTCCTTTCAACACTCAGTTCTTGTTCAGAGTGATCATTTCCAACAATCATTGTCACAGTGGTCCCCTCTCTGTCCTAATTGCCCTCCCCCCACCCCTAACTTGTAGCAAGCTTCCAACCACAAAATTTAAAGGGCTTCTTTCTGCATTTTTTAATAACAGGCATCTGATTTCTGCTCACCATCACTGCCAAGTGAGTTCTATTTCATAAAGTGTCTGTACCAGCATCTTACAGCTTCACTGTTTTTTTGTTTGTTTTGCTTTTTGGGTCATACCCGGTGATGCACAGGGGTTAGTCCTGGCTCTGAACTCAGGAATTACTCCTGGCGGTGCTCAGGGGACCATATAGGATGCTGGGAATCAAACCTGGGACAGCCATATGCAAGGCAAACGCCCTACCCGCTGTGTTATTGTTCCAGCCCCCAAACTCATGCTTTATAGTGAGGAAGTGAGGCGGAGGCAGGTGATGGGAAGAGAAGGGGAGGTGGGGGGGGCGGCAGACTCACTGTTGCTGGTCAGGCGAATGTCGCTCATGCAGCTGTCCTGCGTCTGGTTCCCTTGGAGCCGAGACACCATGGGGATATAGGTCTCACCCATGTCTTGCCACACGTTTGTGAGGTCGCAGAACGACCTGGTGATGTTTGCACAGTCCTCCACAAGCTTCATGGCCTCGTGTTTGCTTTGAAAGGAAAAGAAATGGGAGAGTGGGGTCATGCCAAGCACCCCCTTTTCTGCAGCTCCACTGTCTCCAGGGGCCCCTAACCGCCTTCTTTACGACATCAGGGGGCCGCGGAGAGAGTATGACAAATGGGTAGGGTGCTTTGCTGGTTTGATCCCCGGCACCCCAGAGGGTCCCTGAGCACAGAGCTGGGAGTAAGCCCTGAGCACTGCCAGGCATGTCCCCAAAACCAGAAAAGAAAAACATCACGGAGCTGGAGTGATAGCACGGTGGGTAGGGCATTTGCCTTGCACGTGGCCAACCCGGGTTGATTCCCAGCATCCCATAGGGTCCCCTGAATACCGCCAGGAGTAAATCCTGAGGGCAAAGTCAGGAGTAACCCCTGTGTGACCCAAAAGGAAAAAGAAAGAAGAAAAGAAAAAGAAAAACCTTGTCATAAAATGCCATTTTTATACAGGAGTGAGGGGTTTGCCTTGCCCATGGCTGACCCAGATTTGATCCATAGCACCCTGTATGATTCCCTGAACACTGCTTTTTTTTTTTTTTTTTGCTTTTTGGGTCACACCCAGTGTTGCTCAGGGGTTACTCCTGACTCTGCACTCAGGAATCACTCCTGGCGGTGTTTGGGGACTCTGTGGGATGCTGGGGATTGAACCAGGGTCGGCTGCATGCAAGGAAAACAGTGATTCCCGAGCTCAGAGCCAGGAGTAAGGCCTGAGCACCGCTCCCAAGTGTGGTCCCCCAAAATACAAAATAATAATAACAACGATAATAAATTAAAAATGCAACATCCTAACCCTTGGTCAGAGAGCTAGTCCAAGGGTTAGGGCACTCACTATGCCACTGACCCTGCACCCTCTGGGGTTCCCTGGAGCACAGGGCCAGAAACAGCTCTGAGCACTGCCAGGCGTGGCCCACCCCTGCTCCTGCCCACCTGTCCATACCCATCCCAGGCTTCCTTCCCAGCTCTTCCATTTCATTCCACAGACCTGCTATCCCTTCATGTCTCTGTTTTCTGAGGTCTCCACCTCCTTTTATAATGCCTGTCTCCGGGGGGCAGGGATTGGGCTTAAGGCTGGACCCCAGGCGTTGGGGAAGAAGGCTCAATAAATATCCGTGTTTTGAGGAAATGAACAAGCCTGAGTGGCCGTGGCCACGTCTCTAGATGGGCTGTCTTCCCTGCCACCCGAGGCCACCCTCCTCTCTCCTCTCTCTCTCTCTCTCTCTCTCTCTCTCTCCCTCCCTCCCCCTGAGCCCTGCATCCTGCATCACCTACCCTGTAGAGCCACCCCATAGCTGTCTGACAGCTTGAGGTCCAGAGATGCAGGAGGGCCACACACCAGGCCAGCACCAGAGAGAAACCGCCTGGGACCTGGCAGCCGAAAACCTCCAGAACCCAGCTGCGGTCATGCTCAAGGCTACTCTCCACATGCTTGGATAAGCCTCTCACATGAAGGAACCAGAAGAGAACCCAGGTACGCGGGACCCAGGGCTGAGATCTCCAAGACAGCTCAGATCGGGACTGGGCCTCCTCCACCCAGATCCCCAGTTTTCCAGTAGCTTGGCAGTTACACCCACCAACTGCCTCCGGACCATATAATCTCGTCAACGGCCCAGATCCAGACTATAAAACAAGGCACCCGGAAGAGAGTGATGCATTATTTCCTGGGGCATTAACAGCCATGTGACCTCTTATACTCAAGCCCACTGATGTACCTAAAGTAGGACACATTTGTCTGTTTTTTACATACTTGCTTGTATTCTCTTATATATGGGCTTAAATGGCTCCAGAATGAAATAGAACCACTGTCACACACTTCCCTCTTATTGTGGTGGGAAAATGCTCGCTGGTGCGGTGGGTGTTTGAATATTATCTGTAATGAACTATTGTAAACTACTTTATGAAAATAAATTGTATAAAAATCAAAAAGGAAAAAAAAAAGAAAAGAAACTGCCGGGGACTGGGGCAGCTCCCAAGATCACTTCACCTCTCGGCTAGAAACCCAATCAGCCACCACTGGGGTAAAGATGGGACTGAGGGCATGAGCCGTGGAAGATGGGGCTGAGGGCTCCTTCCACTCACCCGACCTCGGCAGCAGTGGCCAAGAGAAACGTTCTGAGACAGGCCAAGGTCTGTGCCTGGAGCTCAGAGCTACACACAGGCCCAGCCAGCTTGGGGTCTCCTTGTCCTGATCCAGAACAGGCAGGTTCTTGATGGGCAGTTGAGTCGATGGGGTGGCCAGTTCCCTGGACTCTTGTCCTCAGAAAAAAGTCCTTGAAGAGTTGCACTGGGGACAGTGGTGGCAAACAGCCCACATCACTCTTTTTTTTGGGGGGGGTCACACCCAGCAATGCTCAGGGGTCCCTCCTAACTCTGCACTCAGGAATTACTCCTGACAGTGTTTGGGAGACCCTATGGGATGCCGGGGATTGAACCCGGGTTGGCAGCGTGCAAGACAAACACCCTCCCCACCGTACTATCACTCAGGCCTCGGAAGAGCATTTTGTTTATGGACTTTCAGAGCGTTCAATCACACACACACGCTCAGACATTCTTTCACAATTCTCAGCATCCCCATGTCCTGCATCGAAGACAGCCAACATATTTAGCAAGAGATGTTGGTACTGGCAAACCTACCTCATGATGGTGTACCACAGTGTGTAGTGGGTGGGTGCGAGCTTGTGGCCCTGAAACTCCCATGATAAGATCAGCCGGGAGTTGCGCAAGTTCATCTTAAAAGTGCAAGGCTTCTCGGGAGAGCCTGGATGGAATGAGAAGGAAAAGAAAGACAAGCAATCACCTTGGGGACCTGGGCTGGGTGGCAGGTACGGTGCCACACATACTTGGGACCGCCAGGCCCGACCCCCACTGACATTGCAGCCTGGACATCAGCGAGAAGGAAGGGCTTGAGGGATGCCAACCACGGGGCTCAAATGACTCAGGACCAGGAGTCCGTTTTCAGACCATGCAAACCAAGGCATGGAAACCCAGTGCCAGGCCAACAGACCTGAACTTGGTCAATTTGGTATTGACTCTTGATGGATCGAAATAACCCAGGTGGCCTTTAGCCATGCCCTGCTCTCCACTCAGACCCCCGACTCCACCGGGAGCCCTCGAGAAGCAGTTCAGCCCCTAGCAACTTACTCCTATCCCACAGACTCCTGCCACACTTTTTGTTCTGGGTTTTGGGTCACACTCAGTGATGCTCGGGACTTGATTCTGCCTCTGTGCTCAGGGATCTCACTCCTGGCGGGGCTCAGGGTACCATATGTGGTGCTGGGGATGGAATCCGGGTTGGCCTGGTGAAAAGCATACACCTAAACCCTTTGTATTTCTCTCTGATCCTCATTCTGCTGAGCAAGCAGGTTTGGATTTGAAGACTTTTACTGGACTTTATTTTATTTATTGATTTATTACTGTGTTTGGCATCTTGAATACATCACAGGGAGCTTGCCAGGCTCTGCCGTGCGGCCAAACAGTAACAACAAAGTCTCCAATGGAGACGTTACTGGGCCCGCTCGAGCAAATCGATGATCAATGGGAGGACCTTTACTTTACTTTACTTTATTTATTTTTTAAAATTTTTATTAGTGAGACACCATGAGGTACAGTTGTAGACTTACAAATTTTGTGCTTGGGTTTCAATTATACAATGATCAAATACCCATCCCTCCACCAGTGCCCATACCCCACCACCACGGATCCCAGTATCCCTCCCACCCCCCATCCCCCCATCTCACCCTGCCTCTGTGGCAGGGCATTCCCCCTTGTTCTCTCTCTCCTATTGGGTGTTGTGGTTTGCAAAAGAGGCAATGGGTAGCAATCATGTTTGGCCTATAGTCTACTTTCAGCATGCCTCTCCCAACCTGGGAGGATCCTCCCAACACCCTTTATTTGGTGCTCCCTTCTCTATCTGAGCTGCCTTTTCCCCTAGCATGTGTGGCTGGCCTCCAAGCCATGGAGCAAAATTCCTGGTACTAATCTCAGCCATTCTTGGGTGTAAATCTCCTATTTTGTTACTTTATGTTCCCCAGATGAATGCAATCTTTCTATGTCTATCCCTCTCTTTCTGACTCATTTTGCTTAACATGATACTTTCCATGTAGTACCACTTGTATGTATGTTACTGGATTTTAAAGTGTGTTCATTTCTTTTTGTGGGAGGCAATGGGGCTCAAGCTGCACCCGCTGGTACTTGGGGGAATATTCCCGGCCCTTTGCCAGGGATGGAACAAGGCACAGCTGCTACCAAAGCAAGTGACTGAACCCTTGTACTAGCTCTCTGGTGCCAGCATGCAGATTCCTTACAATTATAAGGGAGACAGATGGGCTCATTCTTCTTTCTTTCCTTCCAGAGAAATTATTTTAGGGAGAAAAAAATGATTCCAATAAGATGGGAAAGATGTGGGACTGGACAGGGAATGTCCGCGTGTTGGACTTGCGTGCGCACAGTGGCCCTAATCTTTATCCCACCCACCAGTAATTCCACGAGAGGAATCTCTTACCCGGCAGCACCCAGGCGATTCTGAGCAGGAGACTGACGAGCCCTGGAAGAAGACAAACGTGGTGGATGAGCCGCGGTGCTTCCCAGGGCTTGGGTGCAAGGCCACTGGGTTGAGACTTAATTTGTGTGAGAGGTGGACCTCAGGGCAATGGATCTCAGAGAGAACCAACCAATGAGACCAAGGATTTCTGGTCCCCAGAGGATCCAAACTAGGATCCCTCTGGGGTGTGGCCGCAAATGTGGCAGGTGGCTCCAGCAGATGAGCTCAGAGGACCAACTGCCAGAAATACTCTCTGGCTATGAAAACGCTAATGGATTGCTTTTTGGGAGGGGAGTAAGGGGAAGGGGAGTGGGTTGGACCACTCTCAGTGATGCTCAGGGCTTGCTCCTGGCTCTGAGCTGCTCAGGGGGTCACTCCTAGTGGGCTCAGGTGGACCCTAAGTGGTGTCGGGGATCAAATTGTGGGCAGCAGTGTGCAAGGCTAGTGTCTTGGCCCCTGTGGTCTCTCTTCGGTCCTGAATCACTTTTATTTTATCATTATTATAATAATAATTATTATTATTGGCCACACCTGGCAGGGCTCAGGGCTTACTCCTGGCTCAGGGATCACTCCTGGCAGTGCTCGGGGAACCATATGGAGTGCCGGGGACTTGAACCTAAGCTGTCTGCATCCTAGGCAAGTGCCTTCCCCGTTATACTATCTCTCCAGTCACCAGTATGGAATCACTTTTAAAAGATAAATGGACAAGGGTGGTGGGGGATGGGAATTCACTGGGGATTTGTTTCTGGAGGTCCTGGGGACTAGGAAGGCAAAAGCGGGGTGTCCAGGATTATCGGGGGTTGGGGGGAGCAAGTGGAGACAAAGAAGTTTCCAAGCATGGCACAGTGGAACTCTTGTCCTACTTGGGGTTCCCCCCCAGCCCCCGCCACTGATGAACTGCAAACCAGGCCACTACAAGACAGAAGGAGAAGCCAAAGGCAGGTAGACCCAAGGCATGCATGAAGAAACTTCCAGAAAAAAAAAAAAGACTGCGAGAAAATGGAACAGAAGCCAAAGATCAGGGCTGCCCCTCTACAACACCCGCCCAAAAAAGGAGCAAAAAATGCCACCAGCAGAGAATGGAGAGCAGGAGTCTTCCGGAGACCTCTTTATGGTCCCCACTGGGCAGGAGTATCCTTGTTTGTTTGTGTTTCCTGAAACTCACAGCAAGGCGGGGACCCAAGCTCCCAGACTGAATCCCAAGGGACCCAGGCTTCCTGGATTCACTACAGTGCCCATGACCCAGCCAGGCTGACTCAGCATCCCCAGATAGGGAAAGGAACCTGGTAATCCCCCACAAGGCTCTGAATACTGGGGGACATCCCCCTGAACCATGGGGGGGGGCACCCCGGGCCCACACAGGCTTTGTCCCACTAGGTGACAGTAACAGATGACACTTACCCAGCAGCTTCCAAGGAAGGGGTCTCAGGGCTGAGGTGTTTGGCTTCCAAAGCATCTTTGCAGTTCGTGCTAAGCTTCACTTTCACATCTGGAAGGAAACGGGTACCAGGTGATCAAAAATGCCCAGTGTCTAACTGAAAGATGAGAGGCACATCACCAGCAGGAAATGCCCAGTGCCTGCTCCCTGTTACTCACACCCCAGGAGGAACCGTTCACCCATTCCCTCAAGTGGTCTCCGTTTGGCTTCTGGAAGCAACACTTCCAGCTCACCAGGCAGGAATGTTCAATGTAAGATGGACAGCAGTCACCCGGGACCAGTAAGACCAAAGTTGACCCTCCTCCTGAAAGCTGCTTCTATTCTGGTGCATGTATGCAGGAATATGCATGAGGGTGTATGTTTGGTGTGTTTATGCAGGAGCATGCATGAGTGTGTGTGAGTGTATCTGTGCATGCAGGAGTGTGCGTGAGTTGTGTGCGTGCAGGAGCATGCATGAGTATGCATATGTGCGTGTGTGCAGAACTGCAGGAGTATGCATGTGTGCGTGGTGCAGGAACATGCATGAGTGTGTGTGTGTGTGGGAGTGTGCATATGTGCATGCAGGAGTGTGTGCATACATGAGCGTGCAGGAGTGTGCGCATGTAGGAGTGTGTGCATGCAGGAGTGTTCAGGAGTGTGTGCATGCAGGACTGTGCATGCATGAGCGTGCAGAAGTGTGTGCATGCAGGAGTGTGTGCATGCATGAGTATGCAGGAGTGTGTGTGTGTGCAGGAGAGTGCATGCATGTGTGTATGTACACCTGTGTACGTGTGCGTTCTACCGCAACAGGCTCACAAGTCACATCGCATCTTCAGCATGGTTTCCTCCCAATCTTCATGAGAAAAACACAATCTCAGGGGAAGCTGAAGGAAGACTTCCCAGACAGGGTGGGGGAGGGGAGGTGTGTATGTTGCGGGGTGGTATCTAAGACAGAGCCCTGGAGTCTGTTTACAGGGGTCTTCTGGCAACACTCTGTGAAGACTCAGGTTATGTTCAGGCCTCAGCCAAAGCAATTTGTTTTTATATTTCTCCCTTGCTGTCCCTAAGCTAGAACCAGATCTACTTCTCCCGTCTACCCTGCTTTGTCCACTTCAAGATGTCACTGGGAAAATATTTCTGTATCAGCACCAAAGAGGATTTAACCCCTCTCCCACTCCACAACACACACCTTTGATTTATTTTAATTAATTAATTAATTTATTTATTTTGGTGGGACTTGGGGGTCACATCCAGCAGTGCTCTGGGCTTAGTCCTGGCTCTGTGCTCAGGAATCGCTTCGATCGGTGCCCTGGGGATGCTGTGGGTGCTGGGGATCAACTGGGCATCGGCCAGGCGCCTGAAGCCCTGTACTATCTCACCACCGCGCCCCCCACCTTTTTAAAAAGCAGCTGCATTGCGTCCCCTGACCGCGCCATCCTTTAGGGCTCCCTCTCATGGGCGCCTCCTCCTCGATTCCACCCCCCCCCCCCACCCGAAGCGGGTGACGTGTGCCAGTTCTGTGCCAGGAGGACATTCCAGAACTGGGACGGCTAGCTGAAAGGGCAGGTCAGTCAGGGGTTCGGCACGCGCAGGAAACCGCAGCTAAACGCTTGGGAGAAAACCCTGAATCCCACCTCCGCAGTGTGGAGCGACCTGCGGAGGAGTGTAGTACCAGGACGGAGCGACAGGGAGCGCTGCGCTAGTAGCCCTGGGCAGGAGCCAGGATGGGGACGCAGTGAAGGTCAGGCAGTGAGACCCCCGGGTCGAGGCTGAGGGTCAAAGATGCTCTCTTTGGTCCCTCCCTTCTCCTCCTCTCTGGGTTGACCCAACCTGAAGCTACAGGACGCAGGAGAGATCCCAGGACAGAAAAGGATGGGGAAGGTAGGGGCTGGGTTTGTAGGGGTACAGAAAACCCCCGGGTGCGACACTCTTTGATTATTGTCTTTAAGTCTCTCTTGGGTGGGTGGGGGGGGCTGGAGAATATAGTAGGCAGGGTGCTTGCTTGCCTTGCACTATGCCAACCAGAGTTTGATACAATCCCTGAGCCCCATCAGGAGTGATTCCCAAATGCAGAGTCAGGAGGAAACCCTGAGCAACTGCTGATGACTCGGAGTTATCCCATCTCTGCAATCCTTCCTTCCTGCTTTCCTTCCTTCCTCTCCTCCTCCTCCTCCTCCTCCTCCTCCTCCTCCTCCTCCTCTTTGGTAATAAATGCTTACTTTTTATTGACTGATGGACTGATTAGGTGCTCTGAGAAGTCTAAACATTCATTACAAGCTTTTAAAATTTTCCTTTTGGGGCTGGAGCGACAGCACAGCGGGTAGGGTGTTTGCCTTGCACGCGGCTGACCCGGGTTCGATTCTCAGCATCCCATATGGTACCATGAGCACTGCCAGGAGTGATTCCTGAATGCAGAGCCAGGAGTAATCCCTGTGCATCGCCAGGTGTGACCCAAAAGGCAAGAAATAAATAAAATAAAAATTTCCTTTTGGCTTTTGGACCATATCTGGTATATCTGGTGGTGCTCAGGGCTGACTCCTGGTTCTGTACTCCCGGATCACTCCTAGCATGAATGGGGGGAGGGCATATGGGGTGCCAGGGACCAAAACTGGGTTGGCCACACGCAAGGCAAATACCCTACCTGCTGTATCATTGCTCTGACCCAACACTAAAAGCATTTAAAAAATAAAACCAATCTTATTTACAACTGCAAGCCCCAAATCAAGTACCTAGGAATAGTGGTAAAGGTAAAGGTAAAGGCCCTCCCGTTGATCGTCGATTTGCTCGAGCGGGCCCAGTAACGTCTCCATTGGAGACTTTGTTGTTACTGTGTCTGGCATATCGAATACTCTCGGTAGCTTGCCGGGCTCTCTGAGAGGGGCGGAGGAATCGAACTCGGGTCGGCCATGTTGGCCGCTTGTAAGGCGAACGCCCTACCGCTGTGCTATCGCTCCAGCCCAGGAATAGTGAATTATATATAATTTTATATCAATTACATGTAATTTACTATGCATCAAAAACTGTTAGTCACTATTAAATATAAGGAAAAAATATTTTGTCACTGTTAATTTTGGTAGAAACCACAGATGACTCAGAGTGTCTCTCGGTGGGGGAGGGTCTGTACCAGTTTCACAGGTGCCTGTGATTGGGGAGCATATGGGCTTCCCTGTAGCTCTTCAGAGGTGACCATCAAGCTTTTGGGCTGGGGGCAGGCAGGATTTGTCTGCAGCCGGCAGTGAGCCCTGTGCTGGGAGTCGCTCCTCGAGGTGTTTTGGGGGACCATATTTGTGTGCTAGAGATGAACTGGGACCAGCTGCATGTCAGGCAGGCCCCTTACTTCCTGTGCTCTCTCTCTGGACCCTGGATATTGAAGACTCTATTTCGTCAACAAAAGATCGTCCTTGGGGGGGGGGGGGGGGCAGAGCGATAGTGCAGTGGGTGGGGCGCTCGCCTTGCACGTGTCTGACTGGGGTTAGATCCCTGGCACCCCATATGGTCCCTGAGCACAGAACCAGGACTGATTCCTGATCAATGCTGGATGCCCAAATAAAGATTTCCTTGGGGAGAGAAAAAGAGACAGAGAGACAGAGACAGAGAGAGACAGCGACAGAGAGACGGAGACACAGAGAGACAGACAGAGAGAGACAGAGAATTAAGCCCTGAGCACAGCTGTGTGTGGCCCCAAAACAACAATATGACAAAAAAACTGTCCCCAGATTCATACAGATTTTGTATTTCTCTAATTGGGAGTGAGACTGAGCAGGTTTTTTAAATGTCATCTCCATTAGGGCTAAGTACTTTCTTGCTGTCCTTTGCTAGTCAATTCGGTATTTTTGTTATGGATTTTCAGGGGGGGCGTATTTTTTCTTGGGGGGGAGGGCTACCCCTGGCGGCACTTGCAGGACTAGCTGGGCCAGGGATTAAGCCCACGGCTCCTGTGTACAAAGGTCCCGTGCCAACCCTGTGGGCCGAGCCATTCCCCTCATTCCCCTCAGGTTGCAGGAGATTTAAGTCTGAAGGAAACTAGCTCTTGGCTGGCTACGCTAAATTTAAACCCCACCTCCACTTGTCCCCCAAACAAACTCCTTGGTTTTGTTTTCTTTTAATTTTTATTAGTGAAACACCACGAGGTACAGTTGTAGACTTAAAATTTTTTGTGCTTGAGTTTCAGTTATACAATGATCGAGTACCCATCCCTCCACCAGCGCCCTTTTTTCACCACCAATGATCCCAGTATCCCTCCCATCCCCCCATCCCCCATCCCACCCTGCCTCTGTGGCAAGGCATTCCCTTTTGTGCTCTCTCTCCTTCTGGGTGCTGTGGTTTGCAAAAGAGGAATTGAGTGGCAATCATGTTCAGTTGATAGTCTACTTTCAGCATGCATCTCCCATCCTGGGCGGATCTTCCCAACACCCTTTATTTGGTGCTCCCTTCTCTATCTGAGCTGCCTTTACCCCTAGAGTGTGCGGCTGGCCTCCAAGCCATGGAAACTTCTTGTTTTTGACCACACAGAAGGTTCTGGCTGAAGGGGTGTCTCCCCTATCTTCCGCCTCAGCTGTTTCATTCAGCCCTGCCCACTCCAAGGTGAGGAAAGAATTCTTCCAGAATGTTAAGGAGCCCTTCACCGTCTTGGTCTCTCTCCCTCAGAGTCTCTGTTTCCTTCCAAGTGACTGAGCTGTGGGACACTGGTTCATGGTTCCCCAATACTGGGCCCCATTCAAGCCCCAAGTTCAAGTGGAAAAATGGGCTCCCAGGAGCCAGTCTACAGTTGAGCTAAAAACCCATTTAAGAATTATCTTTACTGGGGGCTGGAGCAATAGCACAGCGGGTAGGGCCTTTGCCTTACATGTGGCTTACTCGGGTTCGATTCCCAGAATCCCATATGGTCCCCTGAGCACCGCCAGGGATAATTCCTGAGTGCAGAGCTAGGAGTAACCCCTGTGCATCTCCTGGTGTGACCCAAAAAGCATAAAAGAAAAAAGAATTCTCTTGACTGATAGTACAGTGAGGAGGGTGCTAGCATGTGGCCTACCCAAGTTTGATCCCTGGAATCCCATATGGTTTGCCGAGTT